AATACACACGAAACTCAAAAGAACAGGCGCTGAAAACATCAATGTCTACTTGATTATTTCACTTTTACAGATGTAGACAAGGAAAGTTACTCAAACTGTGTCATTCAGATGTTGGACTTTTGAAATTTCTTTTATCCATCCTAGAGTTTCCTCGTGGCTCTGTTAAAACTTTAACCTTAATGATGTGCCGTTGAATATGTGATCATTGAAGCCGTCGCGCTGATACGTAACAGTGCCATCTGTTTGCAAACTCATAATAGAGTTCCAGTGTTGCATCATGAAAAATAAATGCACGTAATAAAATAAATAATCATGAGGCGAACAACGCGATTTCTAGTGCATTACCATTAGTACTGAGAGTGTGTATTAATATTTATAGTGTACTTCACACTATTGCATTTGCATGGCAATCTAGTTTCTAAAAATGGATATAGGACATTTCCTCTAGACGTACAAAGCAGCAGTGAAGAGTGATCTCATTACTGCGTTTACACACATACGCTGTTTAAAACCTTCACTGTAACTCATATTCAGAGGTTATCGCAGGTTGTTTGCTTTCTATTCTCAGCCTCATAAGAAAGGAGCCAGGCGTATGAATATCTTAGAGGTTATTAAACATTACACGAGTCTCTTCGAGGTGTTTGTTCTTCAGGCGGCCGTTTGTGCTCTGCATCTTTTTTTCTTTTTTTTTTTTCTCCGTCAGTGTGCGCCTATAGTACAGTATGTCGGCCTGAGCAGGAGACATTGTTTCCGCATGTGAGGGAGATAAAACAGAAAAACACAGAAGAGGAAAGAGAGAGAGAGAGAGGAAGAGAGAGATCAAAGACTGTGGTAGAGCCAGGCCCTCTATCAAAAATGAGGTTGGAAGGCTCTCCCTCCTCTCTCCATCCGGTTCTCCTCTGATCATCGACCCTGAGGAGAATAAACTCAATCCATGTTAAATTATAGATTAAGGCCCAGCTCTGGCTGTGGTGTTGGCAGCTGGCGGCAGCGGGTGCGTCAAGTTTTTTTTTTTTTACACACTTCTGCTGCCTCCACTGTTGCCTCACCTCGCCACATTATCAAAATCAACATCATCCACGGCAGATGAATAACAAGATTTAAAAGAGACTGTATGAATATGTAAAGATTCTCTCCACAATATGGTCTCCGCGAGGCCGCGCTCGTGTTTTGATGCTTCTTAGATGAGTCAACCTTTTGCATTACTTTTTTTTTTTTTTTGGCTTTTATTCTCATATTGCTCTTTTAGCTACATAACGAGATTATATGTAAAGTTGTGTAAAAGAAAAGATAAAAGATTTTTTTTTAACTCTGTTCCAAGCAGATGGTGCAGTCACAGAGCAGCAGAGCATCACAAATGCAAATACTGTCTATTTCGGTCACAAAAATCTATTAATGTCCAGATGCACAGAAAATCAAGTTCAACAAAAGCAGGTCAGCGTTGCATCAAGCTTATTCTACATCATCTGAAGGATGTAAGAAACTAATTCCATGTAGGATCATCAGTAAACTGCAAATTTGCTCACATACATTGAGCAGATGCTGTCAGTAACATTGGATATCTGTGATGCAAATGGTGCAAATAACCTGCTTTATCTACCACACCTCCTATCTGCATTTGATTCATCATCTTTCAAATGCATATCTGTGTCTGTTACGTCAGTGAGCTTCGGTGAATGAGTGCATCTATGGCTACACATGAAATCGGGGACTGGAAACTGACATTATGATCAAAGCTCTCAGCGTATTGTTGAATCAAAACCGTCCTCTGAAGTTTGTTCGTGCCCGTCTCCCTTAAGGTGCAGAATTTAGTCAAATATTCATATATTCATTCACGTATTTTATTTATTTCGTCAACAACCTTGTGACAGCAGCAGTGTATTCACACCAGGATGGATCTTTTCCCTTATGCATCCGTATGTTTATGTCACAGTTTTGTCAGTAAGCTTCACTGTAATTCTCTGTTTTCTCCATAACTGTAATTGTGAACAGCAACCATTACATGACTTCATAACAACAAATGCTACAGCATTTTATTCACAATACCAGGTGGAGACTTGCCTCTCGCTTTTTATCTGAACTTAAGTGCTTTCTTGTCCTCTCTGAGAATGTATTTTAAGGGGATAATTATAAATATAGAGCCTGGTGTAAGAAAAAATAATAAATGTATCATTTTGGTACAGTCTGTGATCGAAAATAGAAATCTATTTCTTTTCTCAGCAACAACAGTGCAGTAACAATATTCTTACATAACAACACTTTTGAAATGACAGTACTTTCATGCAAAGCAAATCTCATAGGGCAGTCGAAGGCATCGAGATAACACCTGGTGTCAACATCAAACATGATGCATGCAGTTTCAACATAATCAGCATGCATCAGCAAACTAATGGATACATATGTACACGTTCTGCTTTACGAAAATGTTAAAACTTCGATTTAGGTATCTTTACATATTACATATACACAATACAGAAATCTTCTAAAGGCATAGTTCAGTTGTCTGAGAAGTTTTACTTCTTACCCGGAGTGAAACGGACTCATGGATGTTTTTCATGCTGCAGTGTGAAGTTTTAAGATTTAGTGAAAAGTAAAATTAGCATAACTTTGCTCATCCAGTGCTTCAATCACAACCTGAGGGTTGCCTAGCAACTTTGTTGGGGTAATGGGGCGCTGTAATCACATTACATTTGTTTGTAACACAGTGAGGTCAGATATTCATGTTCCTAAATTCAATAATCACATTACAGTTACTAATAGGCTATAGTTACCACTGCCAGTGTCACCTTAATTCTCTTTGACATGCTAATGAGTCTTGCTACAACAATTTTTCTCAAGTGATCATTGGACTGGTTTTCACAAGCTTTGTTGGTGCTATGACACATTTTACGCAGCTGTTGCCTCCTTTTCTGCCATCTGAGTTATTGTTCTCAAAATCCCCAACAACAACAGCCTCTGAGCAGTTTGGTCTACTTGGCTCTTGCGGTAAATTATCCATTTTATTGACAGTTCCCTGTGTACAAATGTTCCACAACAACTCCCCCTGTAACTGTTTTGAAGCAGTACTGGTGATGCATCTTGGGTTTAGCACCGCCCAAGACATATTTGATTGGTTTAAAGAAATACAGTAGTAGGATAGTGGAATGAGGTGCAGTTGGACCATTCTACATCTGACACAGTGCTGTGGAGATAGGTATGACTAACTTTGTGGTAAAATTTTATTAAAGAGCATAAAAGAAAGATCTTGTTTATGTCCTCCTTATAAGAATAGAGATTTGTTCAGATATGTTGGCATATATGAGGTTCAACGTTACATCAATTCCTCTCACACGATTTTGCTTAGAAAGTAGTGTAACAAATCACTTTCCACCGAGAACAGTTAAGTAAAGTTAGCAAAGTCCCAAACTCAATACCAAGATTAGGTTTGGAGAATCTTTAACTGATCATTTTTGGAATAAGCCTGTGTCCAACTCTTTGTATATCATTTGTAACACAGAAAAGTGGGGAAAAAAATTAGAGGGTCTAAGGCTAAAGAGGCTCCACCTGGTGGTGTACCAAGACACTACAGATAATCTACAAAACGTGAAGTGTATTATCTGGGAAAATTGTATCATGTGGAGTAATCAAATTGCAAAATCCAAAAGTACAGCATTACGTCTGAGAAAAGTAATGAACATGTTCTCTGTAAATTGATCTTAGTCTCTCACAGGTAGACCATTCTGCAGCACAGAATGGTCTGATGCATCTCATTATCATTCTGCTATCATGTGAAAAATGCGCTGGCTTGTTTGTATTTTATTAAACCAGTCACAATTGTCTTAGGGGGAGCCCAGGATGCAGCAACTGTGTCCCCTCAAAACAGCGACAGAGAAATTGTTTTGGTCAAACATTTGCCTGTAGGAAGGTAAGCACAAATTGCTAAATCATGGAAATAACCTATTGTATGATCCAAATCCTCAGTAAAACTTGACATTTTCAAGTTCCTGCTCCAAGGTTGCTGTTGTTTCCTGTAGATAAGGACATTTTTAAAGCCACTACATGCAGATAGCAGAAGGGTTGGAAAAAGCAGCGACAAATGTGTGGAGGAAATGATAGACTTAAACCCGAAGTCTACATCTGGTGAGTCAGACTACAATGACCCCAATGCTACCTAGAAAAAAACTGTTATAGTTACATATGAGCACATAAGAATGACAGCATGTTACAGTAACGTTACATATTCTGCTTGTCTAAAAACGATACCACTTTACTAGGTTTCTTTCACATCCATAAGACAATTTCAAACCATTTGTATTCTTCTGTACAAACACAAAACCAACCTATGGAGTGTGGATTTTTATCAATGACCTTCTTTACAAAATCAGTACTACAATATTGAGCCTTTCACACTTTTCTGCCTGTTTTAAATTAAAGTGTAGCAATGTATATTTCCGATATGATATACACATGCAATGCTCAGAAAAGCTGGTGGTGAAACAGCTCCGCTAACGTATAAACACTGAAAATAATGCCATGCAGCCAAAGATTTGCAACTGAGGTAAGACAGCCTATCACTGAGTAACATTCAGGAACAAGATCGTGCTCCAGTCTACATTCATAATGGCAATTTATGTGACGGGTCACAGTGATTCCTTTTTGTTGTGTAAAGGCATTCCAATGTGGGCTTGTGATTTTAGTTATCAGTAAAAACAATACAGTAATAAGTGGCCCTCTTTGGTTTTTAAAAAGTCTCTTGTTCGGCTTCATCTCAGTGACGAACGGCTTTCAGACACACACAAACAGGGAAACTGCCCTTTAATTAGAAGTTGACCAAGGGGAATCAATCCCACCCCTGAGTTTAATACAGTGATGCTTATAGGAGAAGCAATATGCACAGCAGATGAAAGCTGCATCTCATTTACCCAGATGGTGTTGGGTAGTGCATGTGTAAGAAAATCACAGGGCATTTGAGGAGCCCCATGTGTGTCATTTTATGGGCAAACCTTAACAGTAAGCTTGCTTTATTTATTTCCTGCAGGTGTTACATTGCCAGCTGATGTGGCTTCATCATCACTGGGTTCTTTGTTTAATCTCCACTTCAGATTCTGGCTGCATTTAGACTTTAACCCAAACTTTTTGTTTTCATCTAGTTTCACTGTCGCTGTAGTCTTGGGGCATTCACTGGTTTCTGTATCTTCACTGGGCTCGGTATTCTGACCTGGTTCATTACTCAGATTGGACACTGAGGCTCTGCGCGTCTGCTGATAGGACAAGCAGAGGTCCTGCCACTTCTGTCGATTGGCGTCTATCCCGTCCAGCATCGGCTGTAATTTCCTATTGAGCTTCAGCAGCGTCTAAGAGAGATACGGAGAGAACAGAGGATTTCGGATATTCAAAATGATCATTTTTATCATTGTAAATGTATAGCTTGAGTCAGTAAGTGTTACCTACCTGGTAAAGAGGTTTACAGATCCCATCGATCCATTCTAACTGTAAGGCAGGTAGTTCATCTTTGCGATTGCGGTCAAAGATGGCCTACAGAGAGATGATAGTTTTCTGTCATCCATGGCCAGAGACATTCATTATAATCATTTAACATAGTCTTAGTCACATTAAGGATATGATATGAATGCATGACTGCATGCTGAGCTCAGTATAAGAGCATTCAAGTGAAAGATAAGACTGGAAAGACTTGTCAGAAATGGATGTGTAAAATTGACATTCATCAGTCTGTTAAAGTGGTGGCAGTCTGCTATTCACACATACGTCCTTTTTATAATATTATTCCTCATAACTTTATTCAGACAGACCCACCACGGTGACAAAGAAAGCCACGGTATGAATGCAACATTTGCCTTATTTTGTCTTCAAGATGTGACAGTGCACCAACATAATCCATAATAATGCACCAACATAGAACAAAAATGTCAAGGATAATTTACAATTCTACGCGTTTTATGAAATTACTGCTGTTGTTCTATATGTGCTAATATTTGCAATTCTCTCTGTGTTTGGAGATGCTCATATGGATCCTGCTGCTGTCTGATGTTGCCAGTATTTAATAAACTCAGAAGAAAAACTCCTACAAACAAATGAACACAACAAACTAAACTTCAGCTCTTTCAACACTTTGTCAAAACCCTATGTCTGGCTTTGTCAAAGTAAAGTTCTACTTTTATGGACATTTCAGTTTGTAATATGTTTGAAATTGTCGATAAAAATGTGTGTTTGGAACAATACTGGTGTTAAAATGTGGAAAGAGCCTCAGTCTTGTGTGTGCCTTTGTTATATGAGGTTGTGTTTTGTTGAAAGTGCAACAGAAAATGTACACATTTCAGTTGCAATTACATAAATAAACATGATTCCATGTATCTTACTTACTGCTGGGGTTAACTTAAGCTCAGACCTCTCTCTGTCGCCTTGTTCAAAGAACTCACTGGTCACCAGCTCTGCCACCTTAAAACAACAGTGAAAACAATCATTATTTTACTCAAACACAAGGTAACATCCATCCATCCATCCATTATCTATACACCGCTTAATCCTCACTAGGGTGGAGTCTATCCCAGCTGACTTAGGGCGAAGGCAGGGGACACCCTGGACAGGTCACCAGTCTATCACAGGGCTACACTTAGAGACAGACAACCAAGCACACTCACATTCACACCTACAGACAATTTAGAATCACCAATTAACCTCAGCATGTTTCTGGACTGTGTGGGAGGAAGCCGGAGAACCTGGAGAGAACCCACGCTGCACGGGGAGAACATGCAAACTCCACGCAGAAAGATTCTGGTGCCCCGACCGGGACGCGAACCGGCGACCTTCTTGCTGCGAGGCAACAGTGCTAACCACTGCGCCACCCTGCAGCCCTCACAAGGTAACATGTCAATATTAAAACCTCCACTGAGAGCTCCAAGGTGCATGTATTTTGTTACATCTTTGTGTTTCATCTACTTGAAGTAAAATGATGTGCTATTCCGAACACTGGCCGTGTTAACTCCCTGCCTGTCTTGTGCAGTTTCAGAGAACAACAGAAAAAAGTGCACAAACTGGAACAAGCAGCACAATCCTCTTTAAGCTTTAAGCAAATCAGCTTCAGTTGTACATAAATCAAACACGTCTGTGTGTCTAACTACAAGGAAGTAAGTGGATTAGTGCGCTAACTGGGCTCTACTAAGCGACTTCCCGGCAAACCAAACAAGCTTAATTGAAGTTTATTTAGAAAGCTTTAGGAGGCTCATGTCCTTGGCCCATACAGAGGGACTCAGGGGGAATACATTCGTTAAAAATAATTCTTTTTCTCTGCTTTGATGAAGTGCCATTTTGCTCCTTGTAGCAGCTGAGAAATTCTACTATCTTCAATGGATTTTTGATCTGTTAGCATGCAATTTGAGCAAACAGGGAGAAACTTTGTGAACAAACCTGTTTAGATATCTTCCAAGGACGAGTGACCGCACCGAGATCACACGCTGTCATCAGCATAGACCTGTTGGTGACATTAAAGCTCATTTCTGGCTCCTTGCTTTGCTTTTCACAGTTAAAGGGATTTTGTTTTATTTAGCGCAAATGTAGAATACCTGAGAACTTCTCTGTGTCCTTCATCCGTCCAGCTGAATTCTCCAGACAGAACACACTCAAAGAACTTGGTTCGGCGCCTTACAATTCAAACAGACAGTCAAGGATACGAAACAATGTTAGGAGAGACCACGCAGACGCTCTATAACGCAGCAGAAATTTAGCTGTGAATTCCTCTATTTGCTTGCAAAAATATATCTTGTAGAATAATCTGTGATAATCCAATGCCAGTTTTGCTTTTTTTCTGCCAAACTCTGTCAGCTCAAAGTGTACAGAAAAGACCACTTACTCAAAGTGCAAAGTAAGGTCTGTGGAGAGAATAGCCTGCTTCAATAGTTGCATCATGTTGCTATATTCCTTAGAGCAGAGGTTTGCAAAGATATTGTGACCCTGTGAGAGAAAGCACAACAGTATGCAATAGCTACACACACAAAAAGCGAGCCAAGATGAGTAATAGCGGCTAAAATATCTCCTTAAACCCAATGCATCGGTAAAGTCATCGCTCACTGTCAAATGAAGCTCCCATTAGCTATGTTAATTAGCAATGTGTATGGGCTTTCTCTGTCCTCTGTTAAAAGAAATCAATAGAGAAAACGGTTCCCAATGATTAAACTGATCTACACTTGAGACAAAGTACTCTCCTGACATCAGTAGTGGTCACTGGTGCTGCCTACCAGCAGTTTGTGCCTACAGCACCATCCCAGATTGCACAGCAGTGGTCTCAGAGCCATGTTGAAACATTTTCAAACGGGATCAGAAATGCAGTTGTGGAGGATCAGTTGTTTTTTTTTTTTTTTATTGGGATTTTGTGGTATTTTTATTGTGCGTTTGACTTTCATGCTGTTTTGTAAGTGTTGTTTTGTTGAGCTGATGGATTTTAGACAGACTTTGCAAACTACCTTAGGCTGTGCCAGATGGAGTTGATCAATGATTGCACAGATAAAATAAATAAATAATAAATTAAATACTGCAGTGTTTCTGGTTCAGTTGTTTTACCCTTTCACCATTGTAGTTTTAAAATGAGCTTCTACAAGGAAAACGCAAAAGAAGAAAATCTTACAAAGTCCCTGAAAGCTATCAATCACACAATATGTGACATTAAAGCTATTCAACACTGTATTTGGTGCTTTTCTTATAGTATAATTATTTGCATTTCATTAAGGACGAAGTACACACAATTTTGTTTTATCATTTTAAATTGCAGCTCATGAATCAAAGACCACAACTGAAAACCTCGCCTGATTCTAACTACATAAAAAAAATGTGGTCCTACCTCACTTTGCAGGATCATGACTGCATGGTTGAAGTGATGATGCTCCAGGGTGGCCGATGTTCCATAAAGCAGAGCCAGAGCGGAGCCTGTCCTGCAGGAAAAATACAGCAGTGACACTTTCAGGTGCCAACGACAGTGACACGACAGGTTTTTCTCACACCTCGTGCCTCGGTCATGCTGCTTACTTGGCTTGAAATGCGTTGTTGGTGCCTCGATGGTCCAAGTCATGGCACAAACAGCCAACCATCAGAGCCAGGGTCTCTGCATCTGACAGGACATCCTGGAAGCTGGCGGTCTGCACAAAGCAAAAAAGCAAAACAGACAGAAACATTCTTTACCATCCAGGTAGGAGTGTCGACCATTTTCCATTTATTCTGTACAGTTTATTTTATGTCTCCACTTACCTATACGTATACATCAGTGTTACCTAGGGTAACCTAGGATAGAATAGGATAGCACCCTGCTAATTTTGTTTACATATTGTTTATGCTGTATATGTGCTGGATGAGTTATCACATGGACAAAGAATGGCCTTCTGGAGGAAGGCTCTGTGGGCAAATGAAACAAAAAAATTGCTATTTGGCCACAGTGAACAGATATGTGTTTGTAGGAGAGAAAGTGAGGCTTTTAACCCTGAAAGCACCAAACCTACTGTCAATCATGGTGGTGTCAGTATTATTCTCTGGGGCTGTTTTGGTGCCAGTGGAACTGGTGCTTTATACAAACTAAGTGGAATCATAATAAAGGAGGATTACCACCACATTCTTGAGGAAAACTTAAAATGATCAACCAGAAAGCTGGGTCTTTAAACAAGACAATGACACAAATCAAACGTGACAAAGAAATGGCTAAATCAGGCGAGAATTAAGGTTTTAGACTGGTCTCCCTGAAGTCCTGACTTAAACCCCATGGAGAACCTGTAGACTGAAGATTCAAATCTGTGATACAAAGCCAACAAACTTAATATAACTGCACCAACTCTGTCAAGAAGAGTGGTTAACGATAGAAACATACCAGAAGCAAGGACAGCTACCAAAAACACCTAGTTGCGGTTAAACAGGCCATTTTTCCAAACATCATTGCTGTATGTATATTTCTGACCCAGCAGATTGTGTCATCCTTTCAGTAATAAATAATGGAATAAATTCATGACAAAACAGCAAAGCAAATCCGTGTTTGTTTGTTTGTTTGTAAACTTTTGTTCACAACTGTATATCTTGGGAAGATATTGTAATTTCCTACATTTGAGCAGTCCTTGAACTTCTCATGTCAGTGTTGGTGTAATTAGTCACCAGGTGTGACTTTGTTAGTCTGTTAGCCAATCAGTGCCAGATTGAGGCAAATGTTGTAACCAATCAGATTCTGAGACAGGTTGGACTAAACCAGGAGGGAAGAAACAGAAGGAAGGAGACAGACGCAGGTGAGTAATAAAGAGATGTGAAACTTGGTTTTTAAGTTCATTAAGCCTTGTTCAGTTACTGTATTTCATCCAAAGACGAGCCGGTGGTTTTATTAAAGTGTGTTGCTGCAGCCAGAGAAAGCTGCTTTTTGCACATGGAACAAGCCTCAGGACAGATTTTCTTCATAGCTCAGCTCACCAATGCACAGAGGTTTAGAAGTGACTGTTACTAACAGCTTTCTGCATTTCCAAGGAGAACAGACAGACTGACCCTTCAGGGTTTTCAAATGAGCTCCAACATAAACCGGGTAACAAAACCCTGGGCGCCATTTTTATTTAATTTTATTTAGGTTGTTAAATAGATATTGTCCTATTTCTGCATTGAATGTTTGTACTTTGGTGTTTATTCATGCTCTTCATGTAACGGTAAAAAAACAAAAAATAAATAAAGACTAAGCTTTGGTTAAATGTAATGAATGGGATGTAAAATCTCACGATAATAGCATAGATTTTCAATAGGCTGATCTGGGCTATTTGCATTTCACCTGGAGTCATGCACCTGAAGTTATAACTGTTTGTGATTTTACATTTTAGCAGCTCTCACCAGTTTACTTCCCATGCAAATGAAAGTTTTAGGTATAAGGATGTGTACAACTCTAATCGGATAGGATATGGATGCATGATGGGGTTGGATAAATGAAAGAACGATGGAAGAACATCCCCCTTGTGGATATGTAACTGCACAAGCCATAAAATCACTCCAAAAAACAGCCTATAAGAAATTAGCTCAAATGAATCACATATTTATAAAGAATAACATGGAATAATCGCATTTTTGAATTTCCAATCAGATAAAAGCAGCTTTACCTGATCAGAAATACTCCAAATAATACACACAAAAAAATAATACGCCGGGCTGAGTTGGATAATAAACCCAAAAATGTCAGGACCAATTTACAGCCCCAGGACCAACATAACTAGCAATTATTACGCCAAATCAAGGCCTGTTAAAAGAATATACTGGAGGAAAAACTGCTAGTAATGGGATTAAGTAGGACAGAATAAAATGGAATACGATGCAACTGATCAGAGGCCTGCACTACAAAGTTAAACTAAAGATTTGGAGCATGTTATGTTCAGATCAACACTTATAAAAGCAGCTCCTGCTGAGCGATCTTGGAAAATCACCATTTGTACAAGGTCCTGTAGAGACTGCCTAAACCCTTTGGCTTTCTCTGATGAGCATAGTTATGACATACATGCTAGTAGATTCTCAGCAGGGGGAGCTCCAGTCTTTTTTTCCCCCCTTGTTGGCTGCAAACAAGCAATTGTTCTATGAGCTTTATTGTGATATAATATTAAAGCAGAGGCTCATTAAAGCACTGAAGCCTTGTGCTTGTTGACCTTTTTAGATTTGCAGTGAGCCTACTTAAAAGTTTGAATTTTGTTTTAGTTTTTGTTCTGTATTTGTTCCCGACACAGATGATATTTTTTGCCAGCTTTCCTTTCTGGAGCAGCTGTGTTACTTTTACATTACGTTCTTCATATGGGTTTAGCATTATGATTTATTCTTCTTGTGAGACGTATGCGGCTCTAGACCTGTTTGGTCATCTGGTGACTCTTCAACCCCGCTCTTCAACCCTGGATTGATTTAACAAGTTGACAACCAGCCTTGTGTGACTGTTCGGCTTAGTTAGGTCAGATAACAATAATGTATCATGGGTACATTGAAGTTGCTTCTTTATGCAGACCTTAGGAGGGAAATGTGATCATTTATTTATTGATTTTTCATTGATTTCTGCATATCAGAGGTTTAAAATCGTTTGCTCTTGCCTTCCTCAGAGACCCTCTCACCATCCACACACTGAGGGATCTTCCAGGACTGATGATGCCATCTTCCAAGAGAACGTATTCATCAGATCAGTAGGCTGCGTTTTATTTTATTCTTTTACGTGTTGATCTGTTATCTCAAACATAACCTGTTCCTGAGCGTCAGTTACCATGGTGATGGACCACTGCAAGATTTGAACCACTTTTGATCCCTAAAAGCTCAGAATTAAACCTGGAGTTACTTCGTTAATACCAAATCCTGCTTTGTAGTCCAGGCCTCTGATCATCCTGGAAAGTTGATCATCCTCTTCAAGGCTTTACCCCAAAGAGTCCAACTTTAGAATTTTATCCTAATGATGTTTCCCCCTGTGATGTTTCCTCCTAATGATCTTTTATTTAGTGACAGGTTGTTGATTAATTTAATAGATTTTTTTTTTTGCATGGCTGCCTTTTAACTTGTTGAACCATTAAGGGTCTAATTTTGAATACTGACTACTTTTATCACCATATAGACAGCTTCACAGTATGGAATGAAACCAAGAGAGACCAATGCAGACTACATGTGAATCAAGACTTGGAGACATGTCTCTTAGAAAACTGGATATTTTTTTCTTTGTGGGCATGCAAAGCAGCTTTAGTCCATTGTTCCAGTTGAAGACGATACACTTAAATCTGACTTTGCTTGATCTGTATTGAAACTTACTGTGATCATAACGAACATGCACTGCGACACATTGAAAGCATGTCTCCAGTTATGATATGCCACGGTTCGATAGTTCTTCCTCACAGTCAGAAGCCAGCGGCACAAAACCTACAAGGAGACAAACATGACAGGTGCCACACCTACACTGTACATACACTGTGGATTCATAAACAACACAAACAGTATACAACAGAAGTGAGAGTGTACTATCACTTAAATGTCAAATTATTCAGAGTTGAATCACCTTAAACTAAGTTGAACAGCAGAGTCTTTGTTTATACGTGAAATTAAAAACTTACAATTTAGATTTACCATCATAAAAATACAGGCCCCAGAGTAGGAACTCAGTACAACTAAAGTGAGTACACCTTTCACTGCTAAGATTTACGTCTTTAGGTTTTTCAGTACTCCGTTTGTCCGTCTTTATTGTTGATGGCAGACTCAATCCTCCTCGGCATGAAGGACACCACAGCTCCAGTGACCTGCCATTCTTCAGATCTTTAGCTATCTGCTCTGTGCTACAGGGTTTGTGTTGTGTGTTTTGTTTTAACTACACAAATCAATCTATTGGATTCGAACCAGACGACATACTTGACCAAGTCACAGTTGTGTCACTTTTTCTTCTTTAGGAACTCTTTTGTTGTGCATTGGATCAGTATCACGCTGAAATATTCCTTTGCTAACAAGCTTCTGCAGACTGGGAGACACACAGCCCCATATCATCACACCACCACCTCTGTGCTTCACTCTCAGGACTATGTATTCACTGTGGTAGTCCTGGTCAGGTTCACACCAAACATGCTGGACGCCATCTGAGCTGAACAAGTTTATCTTGGTCTTATCTGACCAAAGAATAAGCTACCAGTGTTAATCAGGCTTCTTTTTATGTTCTTTAGTACGGAAGTCGAGAGCGGTCGTTTTCCGCTACTGTTCTTTCTTCGCCGTTTTCTCGAGATAACGAGTTAATTTTCTCGTTATCTCGGGATAACAAGAATTGTTTTCTCCTGAAAACGAGACAATTGGTGTTTGTGTTTGCCTGCTCATGCCTGGTCCAGGATTCCATCCTCAGTCACCAGCGGGGGGCCAGAGGACAGACGAGACCGGGCACGAGCGCTTCATTGTAAGTTGTCGTGCCCGGTCAGCTGTTCTCATGACACGTCATGTCGGAGTTCCCGGTCAGCTGTCTATATAAGATGCGTCACACCAGGAAGTCCGACAACTTCTGATGAAGGCTGAAGTGACAGCCGAAACTGTCAACGGGATAATTATCTCGTTATCTCTGGAAAATGGCGTTTAAAAAAATGTGTCGGCTTCCGTACTTTAGCAAAGTTCATCATCATTTTTTCTACTGGAGCAAAAGCAAGGGTTTTTTTTTTGGAAACCAACCATAGAGGTTGATGTTATGCACTGTCCTTCACACTATTTGTGCTGTCACAGGAACTGAATTCTATTGATAACCCCTGTGCCAAGTCTGAAGCACATCTGTTGTGAAAGGCTGAGCCACTATCTGTGGCATCATTTTAGGAAGACCAGCTCGAGTTAGAGGTACTATGGCTCCTGATTACTGCTACAACTGAGTTTTAGGTGGTCACTGATCTTGTTTCACCTTTGTGAAGTCTTACAATTTGAATTTTTCTGTTTTTCTGGCAATGGCTTTCCATGTGGAGCCATCTGGTGATCACAGCTCATTTTATAACCATGTTCGTGCAGTTGGACTGACTGGAAATCACAGGCATACTTGGTTTTGTTTCAGGTTTTTGTGTGTTAGTGATTACCACGATATTCACTTTCATTGCTGTGAGTGTCGACTCAGGGGCCTGTATTTTTTCAATATAGTCTTTCTGAGGTATTTTTCAGTCGTTCATAAGGGGAAATACTTGACAATTAAGTGATGCTGCTCAGGGGTGGACTCACTTCTGTTGTGTATATATATCTGTTAAAGGGCATATTCCAGGGCCTTACCTCATAGTCAATTTTAAACTTTTGGACGACACCAAGTTCCAGAAACATCCTGAGCGACGCGGTGATCATGGCGTCATTGTCCAAAGAGAAGTCGTTGAAGTGAAACTCGTCGATGCCTAACTCACTGCTCAGGGGGATCTTGGCGGCCTTAGGGGGGACAGGACAGAGCTGCCAGTCACTCACCAGATAGGTTTCCAATTATACATCCAGATTCCACACATTTCATAAAGTCAGTGTATGGTGGTTGAATGTTTTCGTGTTACCTTAAGTCTGTCAACTTCCACCTTGGAGCAGGTAGCATGGTAGGACAACATCTGGAAAAGCAGATAAATAGTGAGATGTAGATTCTGATGTAATTCTTTGAGACCTAAATTAGATAAGAACAACTCTTGGAAAGACGGCTACACGATACAATCAATATTTTCTAAGAATCTGAGTCTGTGTCCTACTTATGTTCTTACATAAACGGGATCAAAGAAAGCACATCTCTGCCTTTAAAAGCCAATTTGTTGCTATGTTTCATGTCTCCTAATGGTTAAAAAAAAAAGAGAGAAAAGGAGCAAAGACTATGTGACAGAAATACAGCGGTGTGTGTTGCCTTTGATGAGAGGTGAGCAGACTGGCACATGTATTTATCATGAATTATTGAAAGCAGCTGAAATATTTATGGTCGAGATGCAGAACCATGTTTTCTGCGGATAATGTGACTGCTCAGGTTAGATACCGGGCAGTGGAGCAGAACACAGACGGAGACGCTAATGAATGGAACGAGCTGCTGTTGCAATTAGCATTAATCAGCGACACTTTATTCCTCTATGGTTAATAATTTCTCATGCATTAAGTCTGAAATGATTTCAAGGAGTGCAATAGCAACCTGTTTTTATTATAGTCTTATATTTAGGAACAATTTGTATTGTTTTAATTTATTTTTGGTTTAATTAAATGGGAAGTTGTTGTATGGCAATCTATGGAAACTCATATTTTTAATGTCAATAAATAATAATAATAACACATTTTATTTATAGAGCACTTTTCACAAACTCAAAGACGCTTTACATGTTAAAATAAAAACAAAACAAATAGAAAAAAAAAGCAAATACAAGTATACAGAATAAGTCAAACTAAAGAAAACAGAACAAACAGTTGGAAAAGCAAAAGAAAATAAATGAATAAAAACCTTGATTTATATGTAGTGAGGGTTTTTTTTTTTTTTAAATCAACACAGCTTCATTCGTAAATGAAAATATATAAGCATATTATTCTAAATATTCCTATGACTATTATCATTATGAGCAAATGCCATACAGTTTATTTGACCAGTAGGTTTGTTCTGGCTGGAAATGACATAAACACAGTATGACATGGGGTTAGAGATGTTAATGATAGATTTGAAGTATTTCTATGTTTATTTTGTGCATTTCTACTCAAAATATAATAAAACTGTCACCATTTTTCGAGAAAATGCGGTTTCTACTGTACTCTTGAGTGTTCGATTACATTATAAACTGAGAAGAGCTGTTGCAGTAGTTCTCTGGCTAGTCAACTGCAAGGGGCTTTGGCTGTTAGCTTCTGGCTAAACCCAAAGAGCTTAGTGAGCTGCTATTAAGCTGTAGCACTGAGAGAGAACTGCATCAGTGGCCGCAGTGCAAAGCATCATTAAAAAGTGCACAGAGCTGCACGCTGAGGAGTGGTCGGAAATCCCAGTGGAGACATGCAGAAAGCTTGTTAGCAAGTGTAAGAGCCGTTTAATTGATGTGGTGGCAGTTTAAGGTTTTACAATTGATTACTAAGATACTGAAACTGAAATAGTTACACTTTTAATGATTTTTTGGCCCAAAGAAACTTTACAAATCAAAATTTGTCATGTGAATGAATAACTTGGTGCTTGTACGGAAATTATTAATCACAAAAGAACAATTGACAAAAGATGAAAAAAATAAAAAGTTATGTATACAAATAAACATATGGAAACATCTTATCAGTGGTTTCAGTGGTGGGTGAAAAAAGAAAGACTGGTTTAATCAACATGCTTACATCCAGTGCTACAGACTGTTTGGCCCACGTCTTCTTAACTTGGTTGTACATCATAGTGTTGTTGATTCCAAGCCCACAGAATATCACAAATGCCTGCACACAAAAAATAACAAAGCGTGAAAACAACCTTAAGATTTTCAAGTCTATACACAAACAAAGATTTGGTGGTGCAGAATTTCACGAAAATGTATAGCAGTTAACCTCAAACAGTCTCTGATCTGCATCATTGAAAGTCTTCCTGTCCAGTCGATTCAGAATCTGTGCAACCCCTGCAGAAAATACACAAAAATCATTAGCTGTGACATGAAAACAGTTTTTCAGAGGGACAGTATTGATTATTTCTGCTCAACCTACCGATTATCTGATGGGTGCGATTCCAGATTGGGACACATAACACTGATCTGATGTGGAAGCCTGAGGCCTGATCTGCCTGCAGAGACAGAAGACAGAATCACACAGTTTGATTGTTTGAGAAATTTAGATTTTTACAAAATTGTGTCTGTGGCCTGTATTTTTTTTTAATTTTTTATTTTCCAACTAGATTTTAAATGAAGGTTTTATCTCAGCTCTAATGGGCTCTAAAGACGCCGCTGTGTCCACACCTCGGCATCAAAGCGTGGGTCCTGACACACATCGCTGATGTTAACGGGCAGTCCTGTGGAAGCCACCAGCTCAGCAATGCTGTTATTGATCAGCCAGTCGGAACAGGATAACTTCTCCATGCTGACGTGGCCAATAACACAAAGAGGAAACAACAGGCACTTACACATCCAAAACAACAGCAGTAAATACTGAGAGCAAATATTGAGCGGGCTAATTCCAGCATGACGAGCTTTGTCACGCTGGAACGCATCAGCGTGCTGCACATACATGTGTGTGTCCATTTATGGTTTGTGTTTCTGTTGTGTTGACCTACATCTAGAACAAATAACAGACCGTTTTCACAGCAGATATTTTGACCTGTCCCAGTAGGAATGACTTATAATTCTATCAGATAATTACATGCACAAGAGCCGGATCTCCACTAATTGGAATACAGTTACCATTAATAATCATTTTCCTGATTTTCCTGCTGTGACAAATCAAATTATCAGCCATGAAGTAAATCTGTCGTCAGTGTCTTTTTCATAATGTTTCTTTCACCTGATATCTCGGTCCATGTTGCACAAAGGAGACATGAGTTCAAACGTCTTGGAGAACTTCACAACCTACAAGAAAATCATTTATCATCACAACCGGCAGCAGCTTTAAGCAGTGATGACAGCAGAGTTTTGCACAAAACTGCCACGTAGTTTAACCCTCTGAACCTCATTTTTATTCACTCTGGGCCCATTTTTCACTTGTATATAAAGTCCTGCACCATTATGGAAACACCAGTGGATACCAGTAGAGATAACTCATTAAAAAAAAGAAAAACAATACATATTTGATTTATTTGATTATTTCATTTAGAAAAAACTTACTGCAACCAACAGGTGCAACATTTTTCCAAGTGCCTGCAGGTGTTACCAATACTAGAAAAAAAAGGGGGTTTCAATGTGATATAGCTATTTTATTATTTGCATTTTTTTACAATCTAGACGTTTTTTGCACTACTTTGCACATCAGCTCTAGAAAGATGTTTCACCGTGTTGAATGTATCTTCAACTTGCTCCTCTGTGCTGTTTCTGTTTCATGTTGTATTTATTTCATTGGCCTAGTCTGCTTCATTTTGCTCTCAATTTCTTGTTGTATCCTTTCTGCTATGTGTAAACACAGCCTGCAGTTCAGCCGAAAAGTCTCCATGTTGGTCGCTGTGAGTCAGTCATGGCTTCTCACTTGCGATAGGGAGCATATATTTTAGTTTTTTTGTAGAACTGCGTCACAGAAAACATTTTATTTTTTGATGTATTGTTTTTTTAAAGTGAGTTTGATGAAATATCGTGATTTTAAGCTTAGACTTGGTCAATTTTTTCAATGGTGCCACATGTTCTTTAGGTTAGTGGCTCCAACCTAACAGCTCTTTAGCAGTTTCTGCCTCTGACAAATGGTGTAATTTTGGAGATTTAAAAGAAATATATATGCTTTTAAACCCACCAGCAGGTTTTGGGATTCAGAGGGTTAATGGAACAAGTCGGCTAACTTTGGGTAGGTGCAATATCTGTGTGGCAGGAAAAAGCTGATGAAGTGCAAACAAAAACAGGTCTCACAGGTGAGTCGATGTCCTCCAGAAGAAGCACAGAGCAGCGTTCGCACTGTAATAAGGTCAGCGCTCGCTGCATGATCTTCCTGACAATCTTCTCCAGGTCGGTTTGCTCCTCAAACAGGTCATTGACCACCTCGAGCAAAGCCTGTGGCAGCAAGAATGCACAATATGAATCATGGTCAGTACACAAAAATCATGTTTGCATATTTATGATCCGATATGTTATTGAAGGTTACTCTGTGAGCTAAAGTCATGTAAAATCTCTTGTGCTATGTTTTTATCAACAACTGCATAAGATTATCATATTAGTGTGTGTACAGTAAGTGATGTATGTTTTATTCTAAATAGGTTTAATATGTTGTCTGTAATTCTCCAAATGACCATAAAAAGATTAAATGTATGGCACGGTTTACAACTTCTCACCCGACTTCTTTCATACTCCTTGCGAGATTCCGAAAACAGCTTGGCGTTAGAAATCGATATTCCACAGAATGGCAAATACATCTGCAGCACCTGAGTGAAAGCACAAAGGCATGTGGTTAGAGGCGTGTATAATCTATAAATGTTAATGCTAAACAAAAGGGCATAAAACTGGGTGAGAGAAATGGTGACAATGTGAGCTGATGCTGGTAGAGAGTCATGATGGAGTCAGCTGCTTCTCAGCACAATCTCCTCTCAATAGATTCCCTGCTAATGAAGTATTGATTTAGAGGTTTCGAAAGACATCAGTGGCCCTAAAACGTCTGGATAAGCTGGCAGATCGAGTTTTTCTTCTATTTTCACTCTCTTTGTTGCTGAAAATAGTTTCTGGAGTTGCTATTTTTAGTGTTTTGCTTTGGATTCCCAAAGAAATCTTTTTAAAAATGATGACAAACTAGATTTCTTTGAAGCTGAAGTGAGAGAACAAACTGTATGTACTCAGAATAAATGGAATTCCACAACTTTATTCTGCCACCTTGTGGACAAACGGTTGCTTCTCAGTGCAGTTTGGTAGATTTTTGCGAACTTCTTATTAAAAACACCTATTTCTTGGGGCGCCGCTGTAGCTCACCTGGTTGAGCTGGCGTCCCATGTGCAGGGCTACAGTCCCGATGTGGAGGTCATGAGTTTGAATCCCTCTCATGGCCCTTTCCCACATGCACTCACTCTTCTCCCCCACTTTCCTGTCTCTCTCTCTCACTGCTCTATCCAACAAAGGCCAAAAAAACCCCCACCTATTTCCATAAAGCGAATCAAACACTTTTGCCCTTTTATTGCCCGACTACTCATTCAAACAAGATGCAACACTTTCCACATCCGCAAGATGTACAATATATTATTTTTTCATCAGCAAACTGGGAGAATGAGATTGTAATCACAGGCTGCGGAGCCGTAAATGAAACCGTAATACGTGCGCATTCCTTCAAACCCATTTCAAGTGGATAGCTCGGGAAGCAACTGGAAGTGTATTAACTCAAAACATGCTTCCAAAGTGTGTGTGTGTGTGTGTGGTGTCTGTGAGTATATTGCACAACCAGACATATTTAATGCACACTTGAGTAAAAGCTTGACCTCTTCTCTTCATTTTTCTGCTGTTTTGCTTCCAAGGGATCACTTTGCCTCTTCTCCGCAGCCATTAAGAAGATTCACAGTACAAACAGTGTTGCATAGCTTTAGTACTTCTGTGCAAATGTGTGTGTGTGTGTGTGTGGTTTGGGCTGCACAATCCAATTTTACCTCCACCTTTAAAACGCCCTTAATGGCACAATTGTTGACAGTAATACTGAAGATGATAAATTGCCTGCAGTGTGTTGCACGTTTTTTTTTTTCTTCTTTCATCTCACCTTCTCATCATCCTCAGTAAAGGGGGTGCCCATTGGATTTTTGTTAATGGCTTGTACAACACCAATAACTTCTCCATCACTGTTGCAAATGGCCATGCAGAGGATGGACTGAGTCTTGTAACCGGTTAACTTGTCAATCTCATCACTGAAGCGGTGATCCTGCAATGTAGTCATTAAAAAAAAAAAAAGTAATGCATGTAAAATAATACCACATAAATGCAAATATGAAGCACACCATAGTCAGTACAATGACAGCACATTTGACCTCGTGGCCCCACATCTCCATAAGATTTAGGTTTTACGCGCCTGCTCAGTGGGATTATTTTCGCTCATTTGAATTCGCGACTCTGCAGGAATCGATTGTTTTTACAATAAGAAGAGCAACTATAATGCCCCTCACTGACACATATCTATACTACTGCAGTAATAGACCGCAAGGGGATATGCATCATCACGTTAGATTCCCAAGCAGCCCAGGGCCATGATATAATGATGTGGTGCGCAACTGGTAGCTTATAAGACTGGAGCTTGTGGGAATCTGGGAGGCTGATTGGCTCCCTTTCCTGCCTTTTCCTTTGACGACTATAGACTAAGAATTTTTTCCCCCCTTCTTTTTATTCTGACATAATTGAGCTAATTACCCAGAGTCCTCACTGGACTTCACTGAGTCTTCAGTCGAGCTGCTCGACATGCGCAAAAGTTTTATCTCTGAGGGGTGGTTGCGATTTTTCCAGCCACTGAACACCGTCCTCTGGCAGCGAAGAAACTTCAAAAACAGCTAATTAAAATGGGTTTCTTTCTCTCTCTCTGTTCTTTTAACATTTATGGGTTCTTTTCAAGCAGAAATGTGGCCAAAGGTGCATCTCCGCTAACTTTAAGGTTATTTATGGTCATGTTTTTTTCCCCTCAGTGCACTAAAAAACATATATTTCTAAACACTGTTTCTGAATGAACTTTTGTCTGAGGACAACAATGGTAAATAGAACTATACAGAGCTTTACCTCATATGCGTTTGAGATGTTTACAGTCTCTCCATGCTCTGCCACATAGCCAATTATACCTTTTCCCCATGGCACCTGCACTTCATTGGAGTTCAGGGTGCTGGATGATGGTCTGACTGTGGTGCCTGAGTGCACATCAAAGAACTTGGACACCAGAGTCCTCTTGTGAGCGGGTCCCTCAACGAGGAAAAGTGAGCACCTGTCCGCATCCACCAGGATACACACGTTTATCAAGATCTTGTAACTCAGATTTGTCAGGTCCAAATCATTGGAGATGTCCTTCACTAACTCCAAGAAAAACTCCCTCTCGTTTGTTTCTTTGAGTCTGTATTTGTAGTCAATGGCGCTGGACGCGTACTGGGGCACGTTGACCCGGGACTCCAGCAGGGCGCTCAGGATGTGCGCCGTGGTCGGAGGCAGAGAGCTGGCTTTACGCAGGAGCGCACGGCGCCTCATGCTGGACTGGGACTCGTGTTCGCTCAGGCTCACATGCTCGTCGTAGGTGCGGTGCGCGGTGGTGGCTTTGGACCGGGCGAAGTTCCGTCGCAGCTCCATGTGGGACGATCTGCGCCGGAGCCCGTCGGCGTTGGTCGGCCAGAGCGGGTCCGTGGCGGCGCCGCGCTTCTCCTCGACTGTGGACACTTTCGACGGCTGATGCTCCTTCAGCCACCTGCTCACCTGATCACATTTCGCTTTCCGAACCAGATACTCCTCGAACAGGTCCGGGTGGCAGTCCAGAAACGCCTCTATATCCGAGAAGTCAAACGCAGTCATGGTGAAAGCTGGAACGAGACTCTCAAATGTGATGGAACAAGAGTTTAGGCGAGTGACTGACGGGGTGAGGCGGCTACAGCCGAGCTTCTCAGAGAAGAGATGTCCTCAAAACAGTTCTTCATTCATCCCTAGTATGAGCCAGTCCATTGCGCACTCTTCCCTGAAACACTGGGAGCACAAGTGGTCAAGATTCACTTTATCTGGGAGCGAACTGATGACGCCTGAGAGAGGAGCTACAGCTGTCAGTCAAACGAGAGATGGAGCTGCTCTCTGGGGGGCTTGTGGAATAGTATGCAGAGGTGTAGAAAAGCACGGCTCCTATATAGATTCTCCCGAGAAAATGAAACAGAAAAACTGCAGGGCAGCCTGTTCACTCGCTCTCTTTTATTGTATACCACCAGAGACCCTGTGTGCAGGGCTCTTATTAAAACAGATCAGATGTTTCATTTACATTTAAAACGTGCTGAAGAAGGCAGTTTTTTTTTTCAATGTACAGTTTGAATAATGAGCTGAAAAGAACAGCTAAAGTCATCATGGAAATGTTAACAGTAAAGCGGTTTATTTATTGAAGAAGGAGAGAAAATTAAGAAGTTATTCCATGATAGATAGATAGATAGATAGATAGATAGATAGATAGATAGAGTGGGTGTAAAGGTACAAAAGCAGCTCTGACTACCTTGCCTTATGAGCAGCTCTGAATAACTCAAGGGCACCTGGCTCCCAGCTAACAGAATGTGACTGAATAGATGGAGAAAGAACGTGAAAATACTCAAAGAAAATGTGTTATTTTTCCAACAATTTATGCCCTAAGTTGCACGCAGCTGAATAAAAAAAAAAACACTGTTGTCATGGATGTGATTTGTCTCAAAATATTTCCCATTGTAGACTAAAACACACGCGTGTTACCTTGGAGTCACACACATACTAACGCCCACACACTGGCTGTACCTCTGTAGCTGTAAAATGTGTTTTCTTGAAACATGAAATTAATGAAATATTCTCCAGAGCTGTGAGCTTTGAAGTGCAAGTTCACAGTTTCATCTTTTATTCTTTCATTCTCAGCTCACATGAAAGAAACATCATGAATGTCTCCGTCAAAAAAAAAAAAAAAAAAAAAACTCTTTCAGGAAGCTTGTAAGCCCACCGAGGAGGCCAGGGTGGATACGAGGTGGGCAATGGAGGCCGCTGGCCGAGGACCCCTGGTCACCAGGAGGGATGAGGGCGAGTGGCTGCACGGTTGAGATCAGACCGCTGCTACATCGGTGTCTGTTAACCATCATCACAAACAAACATTTTAGTCAGTCAAACCTAACTCGGCATTAAACACGTTGGCAGCTGACGAGGAAATGCACATAGAACTAGTTCTTGCAGCCATGCGACACTTGCTGCAAAGGCCCTGTCTCAAAATGTACCTTTCTTTTTTGAGTTCTTCTGTTTACATTGTGCTCACCTAGCAACTATGGAGTTGGAAGGTTCTGGGCTTGACCCCTCTCATCACCTGGAGCCTTTCTGTTTGCATGTGGCCATACATGTTCTCCCTGAACCTGCGTGGGTTTCATCCCGATGCTCCGGCTTCCTCCCACAGTCCAAAGACATGCACAGTAGGTTAATTTGTGATTCTAAACCGGCCGTAGGTGTCGGCTGAGCGTGCATGGTTGTACCCCAGTGTCAGCTTGGATAGGCTCCAGGCCCCAGGTATGGACAGTGGATGGATGGATTGTAAATATGCATAAATAAAACTGTTTTTTAAAAAAAAAACTGGAACAGCAAACCTGTAGGTTGGAGCCTACATTTTGAGAGTATCAGTTGGTTTAAGGGGTCACCTCGAGCAGCTCTTTGACCACTGGGATTATGCTTGCAGTTTGCTATCTGAATGGAGTAAATAATTAATATTTTCCTCTAGAGAGAGATGAATTAATTTCTCACTGTGTTTCAGAGGTTATTGGGGTATGAGGTTCTGTAAAAGCCACTGATTAAGCTGAATTCCTATTTGTGGGTGAAATCCTGCAGGGGTTAACCATCAGCTTGCATCTGCACAATAACTTAATATTAGAGAAATCACTGCAGGCTCTGGCACATTTGTAATGCAGCAGCAGGAAATGTAATCCGGAGAGCAGCGGCTCTGCTGGGGCAAAGCAGGATAATTGGTTACTGGACTTAGCTTAGGCTGCTTGATAGGACTTGGGTGTTTTGCTAAGACTTTGGACAAGGTCTCCTGAGAATCCCAATTAAAAAGCAGAATGCAGAATATGGGTCTTGTGAACTGACAAACAAGCCAAGGTTTGCTGCTTGGAAAGCAGTCCGTGTCATGTGCTAGGAGAGGCAGCCGCATTCATTATATGTGCTGATTGAGAAGTGGTGTGTAGAGGCAGTTTTCAGGTTTCTGATGGGAAGTACATCAGGCGTGTTGTCCTATTTAAAGGCACCTAATCGGTCGATCGGTCTTATACTGTCTGCTGTGACATCCTACGTAAGCATCCAATCTGCCGAAGAAAGAACAAGTTTTGGTTGTTTTCTTGAGAGATATCTGCATTTCTTTTTCTCAGTGCTGTACCCAGTTGTGACGTCATGTACTTCAGTCCACAAATCTGGATTTAGATACATATGAATCTGAATGTGAATAATGCCTGTTGGTGGTGTTTTGGTCATTGTCAATAAAATTGGATAAAATCACCTCAGTTCTTGATAGTTAATGCTTAAAACATGTTTTTTTTTTTTTATTTTTAATGTTGCTTATTTAGTCATGAATATTAAATATTATGCTGTATACAACAGAAGTGAGCACACCTCTACGTAACAGCATCTAAATGTCAAATTATTCAAAAGTGCATCACCTCACAAGAACTGTTTATTTACAGTTACAAACTGACAGTTCAGATGTGCTTTACTAAAAATATAGGATCCACATTTGGGGGTGGGCAACAGTACGCTTTTGTATTTCTGAGGTTCAAGTCTTTTATTTTTTATGCTTTGCTCCATCTCTTTGGTATGTAGGACATCAAATTTCTGGTGAGATGTTCTGGAAGTGTTCTTTTTTTTTTCCAACTGCTGTTTGCTCGATGGGTTGAGTTGCTCCATGTTTCTCTTTTAAAGGCTCATTTGATTCAAATCAGGCAACATACTTGGCCAGGTCATGGTTTTCACTTTTTCTTCTTTAGAAAATCTTGTATGAGACATTCAGGCAGTCGTGGTCCATCTCTAAATGTTATCTCCCGACACCTTTTGAACTCATGCAGCCCCATATCATCACACTCCCATCTCTGTGCTTCACACTCAGGGCTGTGCATTCACTGTGGTGATCCTAGCCAGGTTCACACTAAATATGCTGCAACTCCAACTGAGCTGATCAAATTTATCTTGATCTCATCTGACCAAAAAATGGACTCCCCAATATTCTTCAGAGATCCTTACATGTATTTTAACAAAGTTTATTGTTGTAGTTTTGTGCCAAAGGGCAAGCGAGGCTTTCTGTCTCTGACATACAGGTTATGTTGTGTCCCATCCTTCGCCTTGTCTGCGCTGTTGCTACAATTTCCATTGATACCCCCAGTGCCACGTCTGAGGCACTTGTCTACCTATTTTTTAGAGTTAGACTGTAGCACACCGTCTGGGGTGTCATTTAAGTAAGATGGTCACTGCAGCTCTGATTAGTGGTACTATGGCTCCTTCTATACTTCCTGATAACTGCAGATTCTTCATTGGTTACTGATCTTACCGCATCTTTTCCATCTTTATACAGTCTCACAATCAGATTATTTGATTTGTTCTGACAATTCTGCTTAATGTGGAACAATGATGCAGACATGCAGATAGGCACAGGCCAACGATTCAAAACTGAGAAAGTTATGGTTTTTGCAAGTCATTTTATAATACAATTAGGCTAATTGCTAAGTATTTTCCAGATGCTCATAAACAGAAATACTTGAAATTTAAGTGTATAAGCCTTCATGAAACATCTGTTTTTGATCGACATACTTTACTTGTCCACTTATAAATAATGCCATTACTGGGAGGTGATGCAACTTAAAATCATTTGACATTTAGGTGACTATTGCAAAGGGGTGTACTTACTCCTGCTATACAGTGTATAGCAAATGTACGTTATCAGGGGCTTGAATGGCAACAACATTGTTGGAAAAGCGTATTATTTCAATTTAAGAGTATTTTACAAGCTAAGGATTGACTAAATGGGACGATGGGTAAGTATGTTCTAAATCGTTAAAAGCTAAATGCCATCTTAGATTAAGTTTCTCAAAATTTCCGAGTTTGAGAATGAATACACGTCAGAGTGCTTTGAAATGTAAAGATTTCAAACCTTTGTCCTGGCAAAGGTTTTTTGAAAATGCGTTAAATCGTGTTATGTTGATTTGTAGTCGCTTCTGAGTCTTTGATGCAACAGCCTTATTTATCAGAGAACTAGCATAACGGACACGTGGACGGCTTACATCTCGCCGTCCACCAAATCCAAGGAGATGTTCAACGAAATGAAAACACACGTTGCAAATCCTCCTAAGACCAGGATGGCTGTCAGATGGAAATGATCTTCCAGACTAATTTAGACTCCCTTTGAACAGGTTTTGTTGCATTCACTGTAAGGTATATAGGTGGGATCTACCTCGCTCTTTATGCTGCATGGAGACAATGAAACCCGACTCCTGTAACCAAACCCTGCTCGCACTCAGCTTGTATCTGGTGTCAGCGTGAGCGGCTCAGAGCCAGCTTGATTTTCATTCCAGCCCATTCTTAGTTGTATGAGTTCACCAAACTGTGAACGTGTAATATTATCAGATCCACACTTGATGACTGGATGATCCTGAGCAGTGATTGCCTGCTGCTAGAGAACCATTAATATGAAATATCAGCACATCTTGATGCCTGCATCACAGAGATTAAAAAATACTCTTAGAAGCTGATCGTGTTCTACATAGTGGAACAGGGTAATATTATCATGGATATTATCCTACATAGATGGCAGACCACATAGTTGAAAGCCATCACTTCTGTGTTTAGTGAATTTAGTCTTATGGGGGCTTTTTAAATGACACCTCTGCTGTACACGGCGTGCTGTGGGCTGGATTGGGTGACACTAACTGTGATCCTATTGTTTATGGGAACACTGTCACTCTGGCTGTCTCAGGAACTTACACCCACCGGTCACTAGCAAACAGAAGGGAGTCCTGTTCGGTTTACGAAAGCTTCTACATTTCTACCTTAAACATAACTGCAACAGAAGTATAAAAGAATCTTCTCTGGATTTCTCCTGCAGCTACAACAGTCCAGGTAAGCGAACGTAACAGCATCATTTCTGATGATTGTGTTCATTATTGGTTGAAGAAGTACGAATGGCATAAGAGAAGTCTCACTGGATAAGTCAAATTTTGTGTCGGTTGGTGAAAAACTGTCTCTCTTTGAGAAACATGCATGTTCGCAGTTTAATCTACAATACAACCCACTGCTGCTAACTTATTTGTGTAAACTACGGCTGCACATAATGAGATTTATCAGAAAATGTCCACAAAAGGTTGATGAGTGCTTCCCAAAGATGTCTTGTTTTGTCCTTTACCTACAGATAATTATTTTACTGTTACAGTGGAGGAAAAAAAACCCAGAAAATATTCACATTTAAGAAGCTGAAACCTGAGAATTTTTACTGAAAAAAACAAAACAAAATAGTTACTAATTAACTTATTGATTGTCAGCTAATTGATAAAGTGATTAATCGTTGTATGTTAATTTAGAAAAGCACTTGCTTCATTTTCATCAGTGTTTTTTAACCATATATATTTTTTATATTAGTTTCTTGAAAGATGTGGTTTCTCTATTTTTTGTCATTTTATACTAAAGCTTTTACATTCCTTCATCATGTGTCAGGTATCCAGCTGCCTCATGGAGCCAGAGTCTTTGCTAACCCACAGTATCCCACCTGACTTTGGAAATCATCCCTGGGGTTATGGAGGAGCTACACCTGTGTGAGTGTAGAGACTGTCTACAAAGAAAGACAGTTGCAGAATCAATAATGTAATTCAATAAATATACTGTCAATATATACGGTTATATACCTTCACAGGCACATCACCGGTCAACAATGTTATAATAATACCAGCAGAAAGAAGAGTAACGTTCGTCTCAATGACCAACTGTAAGCAGCCATTGATTTATTATAGATATAGTCGTTGTAAACACAGTAGCTGAAATCCTTCTTGTGTTATATTTTCACCAGCATACCAAAGCCAACTGACATAAATCTAGCGTGAGTACTTTTACAGTTTTTTTCAGCACACTATCAGGTAACAGAACTCATTTCTTTTGCACAAAGCTCTGCACTTTGTATTTACTTTTTCCTTGTGACTGTTATTTCGCTTTATCTTCATTTAATGTCCTTGTGCCTTTTGTACAGGGAGAAAATGATACAGATTGCCACTCCAAAAGAGCATCCCTATTCATCTCACATCTCTCGGTTTGCAATGTTCCCATCCTTCCGCTCTCCAGACGACCCGGAAACAGGAGTCCGAGCTGCTTCCCGGCCTTTCCTCAACCTCATTATCCCAAACGGTGCACCGGACGTCAGTCTGCTGAGCAAAACAAAAGGTGAGAGAGGGCAGATGTTGTGGTAAAAAAAAAAAAAAGTGGTGGTGGAATAGTTGTTTCTGGAAAGTGTCTTTTTTTCCCATGCACAGGTGCTCCATATAGACATGAGATCATAGAAACACCAGTGAAAACCAAGAAGAAGGCCGTTACATGGACAGGAGAGCATGGCTTCTATGACGTGAGTAGAAAATATAGTAAATGCAGTTACTCATACTCGTGCCAAATGTTGATATATAGTGAATTTTCCTTTAACCAATAGGTTTCTTCTGGCTGGAAATGACACAAACAAGTGATAAAAGACAGTAAGATATTGTGTTGGAGATGATAGTGATACATTTGTGCTACTTTTTGTTTTTAAATGGCAATTTTACAAAAAAATCCATGTCTAAAATCATTGAAATACAACATTTGAATGGCTGTAAAAACATTATATGAGTGAAATTGCTTGTCTACATCTTAAAAAAGTGAAATAATCAAGTAGACAGAGATGTTTTGTTTTTGTTTTTTTCACTTCTTTAGTGTTTTACATGTACAGTTGTCACTTATAGCAATGGCAATTTTTGATTTGAAGGGATTTTTTAAATTTGCCCAAGAGGCTTCTTCTGGTTGTAAATAAACAAGGACCAAAAGGCAGCAAAACACTGTGTTAGAGATCCATCCATCCATCCATTAGCTATACCCTGGACACCCTGGACAGGTCACCAGTCTATCACAAGGCTACACTTAGAGACAGACAACCAAGCACACTCACATTCACACCTACGGACAATTTAGAATCACCAATTAACCTCAACATGTTTTTGGACTGTGTAGGAGGAAGCCGGAGAACCCGGAGAGAACCCACGCTGCACGGGGAGAACTATGTTAGAGATGTTAATGCTAATTTCTTATTATTTCTGTGACTTTTTTTTGCATGTTTTTACTAAACAGTATAATAATTTTCAAAGCCTTTATTTGCCACCACATCTGTCAAATAGTTCTGATAATTACTAACAGACTTTCCATATGTTTCCACTGGGATTTAGTTCCTCCAAGTGTCCATCTGCAGCTCTTTGAGCTTGAAGGCTTCCTCTTCATCACTCTGCTCTTCAGCTCCTCCACAGGTTCTGGATGGATTCAGGTCTGGACTGTGGCTGGGCCGCTCCAACATCTTCTCATTGTTTCCTCTTCACCGCTTTGGCTGCATGTTTCACATCATTGTCTTGTTGAAGGAGCAGCGTTTCTGCAGACTGCCTGATGTTTTTCTCCAGTCTTAATGTTTTCCATTTTTTCCATGATGCTGTTTACTTTGACCAGGCTGCCTGGTCTGTTGGCTGAAAAACAGCATCACATTCCCACCACCATGTTGATGGTGTTCTTATGGTTACATCATTTTCCACCTAGAACATATTAGAAATTTCCAGGAGCTGAAGGAATGGTATAGAAGCTGCATCTTCTCCAAAAATGGCACCATTTTCAACAGATATGACTAATTTTGGACATGCCATCTTCAGTTAAAATGGGGCAAAAATGGAGAAACAGATCAAATGCACCATAAACATCTCTAACACAATACCTTACTGGCTTGTATCACTTGTTTATCTCATTTCCAGCTAGAAGAAGCCTATTGACCAAACAAAATTCAACATAAATCAGAATTGTTCACGTGTGTGAGTAATTTTAGACTTTGACACTACACCCTCCACCAGAAAACAAAACCACTGAAGGGAGAGAACCAGGTTTTCTACCCGACTCCTCCGAAGACGGTGCTGCCCAACCCTAAACTTCGTGACTGGGATTTTTCATTATCGGAGCGAACGAGCAACATGCTGAAAAACTTGGAGAAGTCACTTTGGGTCACCTCTTACCAAATGCACTACACTGGTAAGAAGCCAAAACACTGCAAATATAAACTGCAAGCAACCTGGAACAACATTAACACTTAATACCGCTAAGAAACCACTTTGCAAAGTCATAAATAATGCAGTAGTTGTGTTTTTGTGAATTCCAAGTTAATTATCAGCAATATAGCATTGATGTTTATTATTTTTTCAAGGATCGGGGCCAGCAAACCCTTTGAGGATGGATGATTTCAAGGATAAAATGATCACAGGGATTAATTCACACACTGCACCACTGGTAAAACACAATATACGCTGTTACAATGATCTGTACAGGGTGAGACACTAATAACCCTGATTCTTTTCCCTGCAGCGAGAACGTTCCCATCCTGTATTTGTTCCCTCTAAATCCAAACAAGGATGTAGAAGAAGACAGGGGAGGAGCACCTGCAGTCCCTCTCCTGCTGAACTCCTAAATGCATCTCTAAACCAACGCTCTGCCTCAGCTACTGTAAACCAACACGGGCCACGAGAGATCACAGCTACGCATAATGAGGCACCGGATCCAAACCAAATGGGTCAGAGTCAATCAGAGTACAGCGCCGGCTCCGCAGAAGCTCAGCACACCACGGTGTCCCAGGCGATCCTACACGAACGGCAAACTCACAGCAAAAGCTCTGTGTACGAGGGCACAGAGAGGGAGAACTGCAAAGTCCGGTTTGATGAAAGTTTTATGCGAGGATCTGTGTCGCAGAGCAGCCAAGAGGCTAACGCTGCCCGGATCTCAAACACGGAGCGACCCCAGGACCTGTACAGCCGCCCACATTCCCAGGGAGAGATAGAAGCCGACATAAAGCAAAGCCTGATGGAGCTGTGTGGAAAAGATGCACCGAGTAGCAAAAAAGAGGATCAACGTAGCTGTGTGAAATCGCAGTTGTTATCAGGGGCATCTTCAGGGCAGGAGGGACTAACAGAGCCGCTGCATGGTATCTCTAATCCGAGCATCCTGCCAAGGCCTCCTGTCCTGCCAAGCATTCGCCCGGTGGACAGATCTGGGAATGTGGGACGAGAAGAAGCAGCTCCAAGCCTCCTGGACCTTCAAAACTCATTTAGTAAGACGGAGGCCCATCGTAACTTCAACAGCTCCATCACGCGAGCTGCAGTGGACCTGAGGGACAACGTGCACAGAGGCAGGAAACACGACTTCTACGGGATCAACTGCAACTACATCCACTGATAAACCTCAGAAACGTCAATTTTTACATCACTTTTTTTTTTTAAACCCTGTCCTAGAAGAGACTGAATACCTGATTGTAAAATGTAACGTCTGAATGAATTTGCTGAAAGTTGTATTTGACTTTGAAAATGATCTCATGTTAATGTATGAGGTTTTGAAATCCCTTCTTTGAAATTGAAATGTGAGATTTTTCAATACAATCGATCCAGAGGTGTTTTAAAGTCCATCACTGGTTATTGATCAAACCCTTAAAAATTCATCTCCATGTATTTTAATGTTAGAAACTTAGAAGCTTTTTCCATTAAAATATTCCCTTCCTGCCTTAAAGTGACCTACATGTAACAGCATCACTGCTCTCCTCTACATTGTACAGATGTATGACGTCCATTTGCTGCAGCCTGAGCACACCAGCTCACCTACCACACTGCTCAAACACTGTAAAACCAGTATTAATATTGGAGTAAATGTTCGAACCAGAAATTTTAGAGAAGAATAAGGACCTACCTATAATAAAAAAAAATAAATAAAAAAAATAAAAAAAAGTAAAAAGAAACACAAAATGAATATTCCAGCAGATGGTTCACCAAAAAAAAGTAAACTAATCATCTTATGAATATACATTATCTGCTGCATGTGAGATCATATAAATGTAAATTGTGAAGTCTTCTATAATTTTCCAAAATTCAAATCTATGTAAAATGATGTAAAATTACAGAGCCGACCTTTGTTTTCTGTTGTCATTAATTGTATTTATATTATACAAATTCATTAAGAATATTAAACTTGATTTTATTTTTTTAATGGGATTTTTTTTTTTTGTGAAATGATGAGGTCAACAAATTTCAATTTTCTTTAAAAAAAATTGGACTTTGGAGGGTTTTTTAAAAAAAAAAAAAGATTAACAGGTTATTAATGCCATTTAACATTAGACAGAATTTACAGGACTTTTTTTTTTTTAAGTTTTAATAATCATTCAAAAATACAGAAAAAAAAGTTAAAATTACATATTTTACAAAAACACTTTATACAGACATTTAAGTATGGTTTACTTTTAATTACATCCACATCAATGGCACAAAAAACAGATTAACATATACAGCCTAGTTACATTCCAGTTACCTTTTCCTTTAAGATTCCTTATATGACCAAAACACAACCGCCTGAACTCTGTAACACTGTCAATCCGTGACTCATTGCTTTCCTCCCTGGCTATTTATTTAATATTGTAAGCACAGTAAATAGTTAAGCCACTTTGCAATTATAGTTAATTTGCTCTTTGTTTCCACACATTTCATTCGCAGTATTCATTAGAGCTCAGGATTTAACACTGCTCCCATGTGAGCTGCAGCCTGACTGTGAGAGTAAAAGAAATAAAAGAAGCAGCCTTCAAAGCTCTTGTGTGACTTCAGCCTGCACAGAGGGAAAGATTCAGCAGCACTGCATTCATCATGCTGCACAGATGAATACTTTGGTCTTTGCTGTAACCTTTCTAATTTTACTGAGGGACAAAAAATACTATAAAGCTGATTCCTCCCCCCCAACCAAAAAAAAAAGACATAACCCAGAGTGCACCTCAGAGCATTGTGCTCCCTGTGTTATGGAATCCAGCTCTCTGTGTTATAGGTGCCGCAGTAACCTTCCAGCTCGCCACAATGAAAAGGGAGGAAAAAAATGCCCTTTTGCACGTAATCTGTTGCAGTCAGGCTGACTTGCGTGAAAGGTTCCTTTGTGGCAGCGAGTCCTTGAGCGGCAAGCCTGTGCAGCCTTGAGTGATATAACGGCCTCTCATTGAGGCGCTCAGAAAGAAATCAGAATGGCTCACGCAGCAAAATGGACAGTTTGCTCGCTGGATTCTGCAGAAAATGGCAGCTTGCCAAGTTATTTCTTATGAGCTTTTTCTCGAGATATAAGTCGTCTGCTGTTTTTGGGGTTGTTTTGTTTGTGTTTGCTTTACTGCATGTGCAACAAACTTGAACTTAGGTACAATAAACCTACACTTAAGTCACATTCTAGGTTCTATCTATATAGATAAAGAAAATAAATATCAGCATAATGAGTCATTTGTTAAAGGCTAGTGTTTTACTGTCTGTTTTTGCATGATTTCTTTGACCACATGACTACCACTGTGATTCATGACTTCATCCAGCAGGTGGTGCTATATCCTCATTTTTTAATCATTTATTCTCCTGACTTCATTCTTTGTTCCTAACAGTTGTCAAGTCATTTTTTTGTGATTTCAGCATCATTTTTCCATCTCATGCTGTCACTAAAACCAGTGGAAAAACACTTCTCAACTACAAACGGACACTGATCTGTAAGTTTAAACTATTTTTTTTTATTATGTTTTTGTTCAATAATAATTAAATGAATTGAAAATTGAGTGACTCATGCAAAGTGATGGGTTTGACTGTTTCTCTTACAGTTTGTCCTTGCGTTTGGGGTCCTCCTCACTACGTCACGGAAAAGATGCTGTCAATGACGCAAGCCACGCCTCGTTAAAATGACGTCGAGCCCTGTCCTGCGTTGTAATTGGATGCTGCACCCGTCAGTCATGCGGCTTGTCCCTCCTCCGTACAGCGGTGGAGGAATTGATGCCTTTCGGAGCGCGCAGAGTGCGGCAGCTGCATGTGTGTACATGTTGTAGTGGAGTAGACGGGCTGTTATTTAAAACATCTATTCAGCGGCTCCTTCCTGTCCTGTAGATAAACATCTGATCATCTGTTCACCGCCTGTTTCCATCTCTAACCTCGAGGTGAGTCTGTTCTTTATTTGTCCTTTTTGTAAGAAAAATTCAGTGGTGTTTTATTTCTCTCTTTTGCAATGACAAAAATCAAGATTTCGTTTAAGATTTTACACTTGGATCGTGGTAGAAATCAGTTTTAAAGCTTTCTTAAAACAGCAGGTCTACTGAGAGCTGTGAGGAAGGTCACTGTAAACCTTTAAAGTTTAACAAAATACCCAGAAACTGCATTTATTTTCATTTAAAGGGCAGTCAACCCTGGCGTAAAGGCCTGCAGAGTTCTCCAAGTAGAGCTGTAGTGATTAATTGGTTAATTGTGAACTATTATGTCAATCAGCCACTGTTTTGATATTCAATTTGTTACTTTTTAAGGAATTAAAAGTCTAAATTTTCAGATTTGAGCTTCTAAAATGTGAATATCTTTTAGTTCCTTTCCTCCGCAACTGAGTATTTTGTTGTTTTGCACAAAACAAGACCTGATCTTGAGCTTTGGGAAACACAGATGGACATTTTTCACCATTTTCTGACATTTCATAAACCAAACAACTGATCGATTAATCAAGAAAACAAGAGATAATCATTAGTTGCATCCCTGTTTCTGAGCCTGTGAAGGTATGAATGTAATATGTGATTCAGTCACCAGTAGATCATTTTAGTCTCCATGGTAACTCTGAGTCCCTTTACACTTCCTCGAGACAAGTTGTAGAGGATGATCTGCTGTCTCCATCATCAGTAAAGCTCAGCCACAATTAAGGCAAAACTATCAATAATGCAACTGCGTGAGTGTTTGCATGTCTCATGCTGAGAGGATGTAGGTGTGTGCAACACTGACCGCAGATACAATCCAGATTTAATCAGGGGTTTGACTTCAGCATCTCACTGCGTGGAGCAAAAACAGGATTACGGATGATTTTAATTTGTTTCTTTCACTGTGCAGAACTTGCCACACAACTTTACGCTCAGATGTGTGTGTGTTAATCCTTCAAAAAAAAGAGAGTCAAAGCTGTTTTGTTTCGTGCAGAGCAGCCATAGTTTCATGACGTACACCAGCTTCCTCTCAGCTTTCTCTGGTGTTTGGTCAACAGTGCAACAGAGGAGGCTTTTCAGGTGTTGCTTGTGCTGTGTGTGTGTGTTCAAACATGTGCGAGGCTCCATAAGGGCTGCAGGGAGTTCCTGAAAAAAAAATGTCCGTGATGAGATGGAAAAAAAAGCAAAGTGGATAAGGTGCAGATCCCACCACAGATTGACGTACAGGTGAAGGACAACATCAAGGTCACACAAGTGGACAAAGTCTTCTTTATCTAGTGTGTTTACTGCTGGCTGTTCAGTGGCTAATTTGTCACTCTTGCAGCTCTGGAGTTTTTTTCTGCTCCTCTCACACTCCATTCAGTGATTGCAGTCAAACACAGAGAGACTGTGAAGGAGAGGAATCAATAGAATCTGTGGAATGCAGCAGCAGGAAAGACTAACAATCTTTGTCCGTAAAAGACATGCGGTTAAAAGAAAAAACAGCAGTGGGGCTTTGCATTGCATGAGTCGACCCCCGCGGTGACTCCGCTGACTGTCTGAATAGAAAACCTATAATCTATTAGATGCCACGGTCTTCACCATCCAGTATTTACATTACAGGGCGTGTTTCTGCAGTTTTCTAGGTCACCTGCTGCCCATCATGTCATATTGCAGGATATCGCACAGTCCGATACCAGTCAATAATTCCCTGGCGGTGATCAGAACCACTGAGGATGTAGCATAGATCTGCAAAAGTCCCCTATATAATAAGTCATTCAGTGACCTGTGCAGTATTACTCCAGGGTTTGTGCTACCAGGAATTTTTGAATATCCACTTACCAACAGGTGAATAATGTAGGAAGTGAATAAAGAGGACCAGCAAAGCAGCTGTTGTGAGCACATGGCAGGTGTTTGCACTGTTTTTTGTGTGTGTGTGTGTGTATGGGCAGTAAGCCCACGTAAATAATTCAAGTGGTTTCATATGCAAACAGGTAGATGCTGTTTTAGGCCTGCAGTGGAAAAAAAAACAAAAAAACTACAGTTATGGACCTTGTCTGCTTTTTAAATGTAATTTGAAGCTGCACCAATACAAGCTGTACTTGCGTTTAACAAATCTGATTATCAGTAGCTGTATTGCTGTTATGCAGTTTTGTCCATCTAATTGGTTTTCTAAATTAGATGAGCAATTCTCAGGGGGAAAAGTCTACATTCTCTGATTCCAGCCTCTAAAAATGTGAATATTTTCTGGTTT